TTTCGGGCAATTGCAGTTAGAGTGCAAATAAGTGTAGACACTGTGGTTAGGTGTTGTCAGGCATGGCTTCGAGAAGGCCGTACGCAAAGAGCAAGGGGCACTGGACGCCGCCGTAGAACAACAGACCGTGAAGATCGCCGCCTAAGATTATTGGCCTTAAGGGACCGTTTCTCAACTACCAGGTCCATTGCAAATGAATGGTTTGCAGAACACGGAAGACCTATTGGCATGCGAAGTGTTTACCGACGAATGAGAAGTTTTGGCTTGTTTTCATACCGGCCACACTGAGCCCCCCTTTAACTCGAGAACACCGACGTAATTACCTTGAGTGGTGCAGACAACGGTGACGAGTCTCGATTTTGTTTAGGCATGCACGATGGTCGTGCCAGGGTTAGAAGGCGACGTGGTGAAAGGAGGAATCCACAGTTTTTTGTTGAAAGACATGTTCATCACACTGTTGGAGTTATGGTTTGGGGTGCTATAGCTGATGGTTCCAGGTCACCTTTAATTTTCATCAGAGGTAACATGAACGCGCAGCGTTATATCCACGAAGTTCTAGAACCCCATCTTGACACCCTGGCAGATCCAAATTTCCAACAAGATAATGCCCGACCACATATTGCAAGAGTCACAATAGACCTCTTTCAACATAATGATGTCACATTGTTACCATGTCCACCAAGATCTCCCGACTTATCCCGAATTGAGCACGTGTGGGATATGATGGATAGGAGATTGCTCAATTTGCAACGTCCTCCTCAGACTCTAGAAGCACTTCGAGAGGAGTTGGTGGTTGCCTGGAATGAGATACCACAGGAGGACATTGACCACCTGATCAGAAGCATGCCTAGGCGCGTTGGAGAATGCGTAGCACATAAGGGTGCATCCACACATTATTAAAGGTCAAAGGGCTTTAAAGCAGTGCAATCATTTTGAAATTTTTATCATTTACTTATTATGCTTCATTAAGTACTTATACAAAATTTTATTAAAATAAAACCACTTAAACTGGGTGTTCGGATTTATATGTGACTTAGTATATATTAGGGTACTGAAACCAAAGACTTTCTTTTCGGTGCAGGTGTAAAAAAAATTTATAACTGTACATACACATGAGTTGTTCTATTTGAAAATACAACATATTGAAGACAAATTAATGCTCTTTATTTACTTGTCACCACGTATTACGATATTTTTGAACTGCTCAGTGCTATCATCAATCGATTGCGTGAAGGCAGTTGTTGATTTTGAACAAGATGTGGTAGCCGCTTGAGTTTGCCTGTCGCTCTAGCTCTAGATGATTGATAAAAACAAGTCCATTGTTTACGTCTTCTACCCATATTCGAATTCGTTGGAGCAACCAGACTTGACACGCCTACTGACTTACGGTACTTTAACTAAGAACAAAGGTCCTATGGACCGCTCTGATAGACAACGGCGAATAGATAGGTGAAATTGTCTGATTCCAATGATTTTTAGTAAGCCCGTGAATTAAATACAACTCTTACCTTTTTTACCCTGCAACCTCCTCAAAATGGGAAGAAATCGTACAAAAAGTGATACAGAAGAGTAAGGGCCAATTTCACCAACAACAGTCTCCACCTATAGTTTAACAGACCGTCAGATACAGCAAATGAGCTTCAAGTTCCAATCAACAAATTTTAGCAACCAATAGCTATGAAATGTTGAAAACAAAATACTGTCAAAGTAAAATTTTAATAAAAGTTTAATTTTTGAATTAAATTCATGTTTTAATTACTATTGTTGATTTTTTATTCATGTTTATATTATTTTCTTCAATTGATATGTGATACTGGGTGTTTTTTCCTATAAACCTCTTGCAGATAGCCATTAAGCACCTACTTGATGACAGGCTCTACCAAAAAGATATTGCTCGTTTCGAAACATTCATTCATTTACTTGCCGTTCATCAGAACCATTTTGGCACCTTAGATTGATATTCCCACCAAACCATTCAGGTTTTTGATATCCATACATCCATAAAGTTGAATATTTTTCGTTGTTCAGGAACTGAACAAACATCCACACTATATTCACAGCGATTAAGAAATTCCCAAATATATGCCTTAAAGCTACCAGCAAACCTAAAACCTGCAAAAAAACTACAAATTTGCCATATTTTTCTTTTTTCACGAGTACACGTTCTAGAATAGATTTATATTACACATTATTTGAATACAGCTGATTATTGCATTTCACGGAGTGACACATGTGTGGGATCTGTCAACTCTTGGTACCAGTTACAAAACATATACTCTGAAGGTTTGATTCCATGCTATCCAATGACAACACGGTGACTTATGTGGTTGTCAGCGGCCATTTTGTGAGGGTGCGACAGGGTTGCCAGATTGTGCATTAATATCCCGTTTCACCCTCCTGGTCCCAGTAGTGTAAGTTCCGCCAACTGTTGAAATATACTCTACTATGCTTTATAAAACTATTCGTGATATTTTTCCCAAAATCGTTGCACAACACTTGAAAAAATGCAAATGAAAATTTAAAATTATTTCCATGACGCCGCAAAATAGCTCCGTCGGTACCTTGGAATATACGTCTTGACAGTAGGGATGTTCGATACGATCCTATATTTAGAAGTATCAATACATTTCACGAGTATCTACCGTCATCTTTCGATCCGGACTGTGTCAGAAAGAGTGACTGCCATTTGGCTGCGACATTACCCTGCCAAATCAGATATATCTTTCATCATTCTCAAAGAAATTGTGCAAAATCTTCAAATTTGTGAAGTTAGCGAGTTTCACTTCATACGTTGTTACCAGACATGCCCAAATCATCAGTTGCTGCCATGATATTCATCCCGACCACTGCATCCCCACGGCTAGGCGACCTGTATGTTAAATTTGTATTGATAGGGCAGCGGGTTATGCTATAAATCATATGTCACAGTGTTTGTGCACTGATTGCAACGATTAGATGATACCAAAAATATTTTCATAAATAGGAGATCTTTCCCATTCCGGATAGAACAATCTATCAAAGATGCTTATAATCATGATATCTAGTAAATTTTCACGAAAAAAATTCAAAACCAGCAAATGTAAAAGATTCATTTCGCACCCTTCACCACGGGACGTGATCGTCGTTAGACTTGGCAACCCTGCGAGTGACAGATAGATATTCCGGCCAGTCAAGAAAGAAAAATAGACAAACAATAAACATTACTAGTTTTTTTGATACTTGGACTTAAACGACATTATCTGTGAAACATTTTTCATAATTTTTTGTCTATGTCCATAGTAATTGCATTATACATCAGGGAGATGTAGTGATTGACACGTCTTACACATATTATCTGTGTTTTAGGATGGGGAGGACATAACGTTTTTATTGCTTTGAAGAAATCCATTAACCCATAAATTAATAAATGATTATTAATATGACGTAAAGGAAGATGAGGAATTGGATGGAATGTATTTTATATTCTATTTTCTTGCAAAATACAGATATTCAACAGGTATGTAATGATAACTTTCAGTATACCTATTGAAGTTGGTATATTCGAGAGTGCCATGCATTAAAAACGTCCAAATCTGCTGCCAAATTTAACAGCTAGAAAATCGACCTATTATTTGCCGCATTCCCATTTGCTGATGGAGATAACGGATTGTTAAATGCAAACCTATAACATGTATCAAAATACATGAAAGTTCTCCTGTTTTTTCTGTACAAAAGCATCATGTTGGAATCAAAAAGTGGTGTGTAGTTTCTCTTGTAGCACAAAGGCGAATACGTTACTGTTATATCGGCAACCAAAAATAAATGTCTTCTATTTTCAGTTGTGTTTTTAAATTTTATAATTGTCCATTATCCATGGTTTTTTTGGTAATTCATGAAAGACGACATAGATGTGGAACAGTTACATTTTTACGTTTTTTCACCGATTTAATACATCTGGGACACTATGGCAAGAAGATTACTCCGTATACCCCATCCTCTACAGACTTGAGCGGCACGGGTGTCATGTAAAAAACCTATAAAACGTCCAAAACCTATAAGATGTCAGCTTGCAGACTAGGTAGTTTTTAGGGCGCAAACAGTCATTCCACGTTTGCTCACTAGGATCGTTGTGAACGTCCATCTATGGAGGAATCACTCAACTAACCTACACGCATTATTTGTTGCATACTTTTGTGAGGCTTACTGATCCGTGTCTGTAGTTTTTATCTCTGAGAGGAAAGTTGATCTGATCTGGATGATTATGTGTATTGGTCTGCATGTGTATAAAATCGGAGATATTTGCTGTGTGAGAAAATTATAACTCAATATGCCGGGTTATTTATGTGTTGTGCTTTCATAAGAGAGGTTATGTTCAAAGTTATAAATTACGAACAACTGAGGAGAAAATTATGGAAAATCATCACCGCGCCCGCGTTGTGTGTAATTACTGTTAACATGTATATGGCTTGTAATTCGACAGTGTACAGTGAATATAATTATTTCTTATCTCTCTCATTTTTGAAATTCAGCAAATTTGTATATGTAATTTCCAGAATGGATAAGAAAAAGTGGATGCGCAACTAATTTGTAGCTTTGAATCTCAATTAAGGGTGTTTGAGACAAGAACAGAATGTAATTATCATCAACACATACAACTTACAGCTCCAGTAATGCCATCTCAGAAGCAGATTTTACATCATATCAGAGCCAAACATTGATAACAAGCCTCATGACGTACAACCAAGTGCTAAGTCAACGTCTTGGCGAAAAACCTACATACATGTCACTTTTCAAGATTCGTGATACCCATGCGGTATTTCGTTGCTAGGTACAAGTAGCCTGGACTACGTCAAGAGGAAATCAATTATCTGATTAGCAGTATGCCCAGACATGTTTATGGATTTTATTGAATTTTGACCAATCACTTACCTAAGGCTAAGAGACATGTATAAAAAAAATTTAATACGTTCATTATAACCAAGTGTTTTTTTTTCTAAGCCACTTGGGGGCTTATGAGGTTTGTATAAAGTTTACATAGGCACATTTGCTTGGAATTTTTAAGAAACTGATAACCTACCTTCACATTTGAGACCCTGTTTGTAAATACCATATAGTAGCGAACCGCAGTGATCACAGAAAGTTGGAGACATGAACGTGTGGACTTTGAATCTGTGAGGCAAGTCGATCTTGAACCGTTCTCTCAGATACTGAAACAAATAAACCTTCTTTTTTAATAAGTTAGTAGTTAATGCGTATGAGTACATTAATTTAATAATGATATGTTAAGTATGAACGAGATTATGGAAAGAAGCTACTTCTTGCGAGTATGTTCCTTATAACTACTTAGGCCCAAATCATATTAGCACAGTTATTATTATTACATTTAATAGAATCACATCGTAGACATGACAAATAAAAGATGTCAGACAGAAAGAGTGTAATGCCAGCCATACACGTAACGATATACTTGCGCAAACTTAGACTTGCACAAGTATACTGTAGCGTGTGTTGGAAGATTTTTGCGCAAGTGTCTAGACTTGTACAAGTCGCAAGAACGTTGCAATTTTCGATTCCGAGACTTGTGCAAGTTTATGTTTGCGCAAGTTTACTTGAACGTGTGTGGCAACGAGCGTTCGCAGTTAGCGATGTCCTGCTGCTTGGTTGTACACACACGTTGCGTTGTTCAGCACCAAAATGAGTGAGACACGTGGAGTTCGAGAAAATTTTGGAGAATTTATAAATGTGTACAGAAATGAACCATGATCCTGGCAAATAAAGAACAAACACTACCATAATAGAGATAAAAAAACCGCCGCTTATAACAAATTAGTAGAACTGTATAAGAAAATAAAACCAAGTGCCAACCGAGATATGATAGTTAAAAAAATTAATGGCTTACGCACCAACTACCGTAAAGAAAAGAAGAAGATAGAAGAGTCTAGCCGATCTAGAGCAGGCACCAATGATGTTTATGTGCCGACATTATGGTATTATGATTTACTGAAATTTCTCGATGACGACCAAGGAACGCCAAGATCTTCTCGTTCCAACATCGACGAAGATGATAGTTCTGAAGTAAGTACACGAAATTGGCTATTATATTTTTATTTAATGTAAATATTTACAAGGTAACATTTCTCTGTGTGTTTAAGGAATAAAGTTATGTTGCCAAGGTACACTCCCCTCGTTATTACAGTAATGTGCATACTGTTCTCTAACGTTTTTGGCAGCAGTTGCATTATTTCCAGAGTTTCGTCGATATAATGGCTCCATGTTTGAATCATGTGATGTTAAACCTGATGTAATAGTTTCATCTTCTAGGTTTTCGTGATCGAAACATTCTGCAGAACTATATGAATTCGATGACGACATTAAAAAGTTATGCAAAGCACAGCTTGCCATTACCACCTTATCAATGTTCTTGGGTTCTAGATTAATTTGAGATTTATATATCCGAAATCTAGAAGTCAATATTCCAAATGCATTCTCTACAATGCGCCGCGATCGAGATACTCGGTAATTGTATATCTTTCTTTCGCGAGAATTTAAATCTGCCTGTCGGTATGGTTTTACCATATCTTCGTTCATACGCAGGTAGTTATGCCAGTCTTTGGGTGCAAATTTCAATTCCTTCATTAAATTGATGTGTGAATAATGTTCTCTTTTCATTAACCAATCCTTACACCATATAGTTCGATGCCTTTTAGATCTTTTCAGTTTTTTTTGTAGCAACTATCAAGCGAACTATCGCCTTAGCATCATCAATGGATGCCATCGTCGCAACACAACTCGCCTGCTCCATGACTTTCTCAAAAATGATCGGTTAAGTATACTTGCGCTGTGTGTGCTCGAGATAGGATGTTGTGTGTTTGCGCAAGTCTAAGCTTGCACAAGTATATCATTACGTGTATGGCTGGCATTAATTTGAATACTGTTTTTTCAGTTTCACACATAACACCGACACAGATTATACAGATGCGACACCTGCAATCGGTCTCTTTGATCTTCGTGTTTCTAAGGCCGTTTGCACACACACCGACAAAATCGGTGCCGGTGCCGGTACCATTTCCTGTGCCGGAAAACATTTAATTTCACACATACCGGCGTTTCCGTGCCGTCAATTTTATTCGGTGTTTGGCAGTGGTAAAAGAAAGATGTATGTTTCTGCTTCTAATAAACGTTATCTCCTTGGGTTATTGTATCTCAGGAGGAAGTATCGACAAGCTAAAAAAGTAAGACAACATTGGGTGCATCCTCTGCTGACTGTCAGATACTTAGAAGGTAGCTTCTACACGCTTTTTGAGAAACTTAGGAAAGACAACTCGAAATTCTTCAATTACTTCAGAATGAGTATTGATACTTTCGATTTCATAGTGGAACGATTATTAAACAGTATCAAACATCAAAATACTCCAATGAGAGCATGTATCCCTCCAAAGGAAATGGTCGCAGTAACAATAAGGTGAGTAAATATAAATAAATACACATCTTATTGTTTTTAATGTTTATTTGTTAACAAGTTTATAGGTTAGAGGTCTTGAAAAAAGGTTATAGTGGGTTCAGATAAAGTTGAACTGGGATTATTATAGGTAGGCTGGGCTAGATTACCAGGTAAACACTGCTGTTGACTCTGTTGAAAATCATGAGCATGTTGACTATTACTGGAATTATTGGAAAGTGGAAATGTATTGTGTGAAAATGGCGTTGATGATCGAGAGGTTGATGTAGATGTGTGACTGGCAAATGCTGGCGATTGCATTTTGTTACGCATGTTAATATTTTTTATTAATTGAAGTACATTCATGCGGAATTCCAGCTTATCATCTTCTGACATTTTTCGTACTGATGGAGTAATTGACAGAAAGAATGCCTCATCCTCGTCAGCTGGCTTTTCTAGGGCTGTTAAAATTCTCTTATCTACATCTTCTTGCAAGCGAGGTTTTTTTGATGTGTTCCTGTTTCCTGCAGGCATAGGGTTGATATTTTTTTGGAGTTGCACTTGTACTTCAGACTCCCTCTCGGCTTCGTTTTGGGTTTCTTTCAACAGAGAATGCTCGTTATCCTGGGTGTCATCAATACTTGACTGCGTGTCGTCTGATTGTACCACTTTCAGCAAGAATGTTAGGTTATCATGGTACATATATTTTTTTGTAGTGGCTTGTCCAGATTTTTTCTTCAATGACTTCACAAAAGAGTCACGGATATTTTGCCATTTCCCACGAATTGCTTCACCTATAAGTAAAATTAAAAATCATAGAAGCGTACAATAAAATTATGCAAAACTAAAATTTTTAGATTTATTTTTTAGTTCGCGATATATTGATAAAAGTGCTTTTTAAATTTCAGGTACCTTGCTTCTGGAGCAACATTTACTGATATGCACTACTACTATAGAATCGGAATAAGCACAATAAGTAAAACTGTTCGTTTGGTATGCAACTCTTTATGGAACTTATTAAAAGACGAATTTCTCCCGCAGCCTACGGAGGAAACATGGCAACGTATAGCAGATAACTTCAAAAAATCCGCACAGTTCCCCAATTGCTTAGGCGCTATCGACGGAAAACACATACGAGTTAACAGATTTCCCCATAGTGGTTCAATGAACCTTAACTACAAGGGTTATTTTTCCATTATTCTTATGGCCGTGGTTGATTCTGATTATAAATTCATATATGTAGATATAGGAGCTTATGGTAAAGACTGCGACTCATCTGTATTTCAACAAACAGTATTTTTTAAATTAATGATGGAAAACAAGTTACATATCCCACCACCCTGTCCATTAGAAGCAACTGGAAAAGATACTTTTCCTTATGTGTTTGTAGGGGACGAAGCATTTGGGCTATCAGAAAACCTAATGCGACCTTACGCTGGACATAATCTTACTGAGAAAAAAAGAATATTCAATTACCGATTAACTCGGGCAAGAAGGTACGTTGAATGTGCTTTCGGTATAATTTCCAATAAGTGGAGAATTCTACACAGAGCATTAAACGTATCAAAACAATTATCTAAAGACATTGTTAAAGCATGTGTAGTTTTACATAATGTGGTGCGAATAAGGGATGCCGACAATTTAGAAATGTATGTAAGCCAGCAAAAGCTACCAAATGTGCAAATAGCTCCTTGTACTAGGCCAACAAAAAATGCAAATTATTTGAGAGATTGTCTCGCAGATTATTTTGTAACTACTGAAGGGATGTTGCCGTGGCAAATGGACAAAATATAATAACTATATTAATTGTGTATTGCTATTGCTCAATATATATGTATATTGACTTACCTATTTTGTGTTGTTCCTTTTTGTCCTTTTCTAGGAAATCTTCTTCAAAAAACGCACACACGTCCTTCCACGCTTTTTCTTTTTCAATCTTATCCTTGAAGCAATCTGTAGTTTTATCCCACAAACAAGGTTTATTTTCTATTGCTTCGATTAAAGTCACAACATCATACTTGAAAATTCTACTCATTGTCAGTACAAAAAAGTTGAAAGGTACAATGAATATCCAACAGCAAACGACCCTATGTATGCACTTCCTACGAGGTTAGCGATATACTAAGAACTTAGATGCATAAATATCCCCGGCACCGGAACGCGTGAGCCTGTGTGGACAAGTATAGATTGTAGAACAGTGGAATCGGCAAATCGGAAGCCGGTGCGTGGTCCGATTGTCGAGTTCACCACCGACTGCATGAATCGGAATCGGTGACCGGACCGTCAAATAAACCGGGCCGGGCTACGTGTGAAAATATTCATTTTATTACATTGCATTCGATGTCGGCATCGTTACCGGCACCGATTTTGTCGGTGTGTGCAAACGGCCTAACTGCTTACCACATTTCCCACTTATGTTCATTAGCGTCGGGAGGATTTTTTTTCTAGAGGTTGTTACGCGTTATTAGCAAGACGTCACTATTGTCATGTGTCAAACAACATAAACAAGAAATTTATTTGTGTTTATTATTTACCCACATTATATAATTATATATAGTATTGGTAATACGAGCCCCTTCCCACTTCAGTTGGCCCACTACAAGATTTGTACCAAAATATGCTTTTATAAACTAAACATGACGGAACTATTTACTTCTAAAACAATTTATTTTCTCAAAAACATTTTAGATACACTCTAGTCGTAAATACTACATATTTGAAATCACTTAGACCTATAACTAATAGAACATCTGAACAAATAAACAATGTGCAAATAATTGCGCGAAATTAACAAAGCAACAATTGAAAGATTACCATTGGCTAACATCACCTTCATTTTTTATTACGGCTGAAATTCTTTGGGGCATAGCGTTAACCAAGTTTTGGCAAAAATTTGGTGTAAAACAATCCCATATTTCTTGATGCTTTTGTCTCAGTTCGGTGATTGTACGAGCAGGATGTTGTCGTAGAACCTTTTTCATCTCGAACCACAAAGTTTCAATATGTGACAGATCTGGACTGCTAGAAACCCATTTCAAAAGTGGTACATTATTTTCTTCCATCCATTTTGTAGCCTTTTTTAAGGTATGGCACGCTGCACCATCTTGCTTGGCCGGATGTCAAACATTCTTCCATCACTGGTAAAAGCGATTCTTCTAAAATTGCCAAATATTTGTTTGTATCCACATTTCCATCAATAAAATGCAGTTTTCCTACTCCTTTTGATGACATACTGCCCCAGACCATAATGGATGCTGGAAATTTCACTTTTCTCATCAGACAGTCAACATGGAATGGTTTATTTTTTTTGCGAATAACTCTACTGCGACTGTCACCAACACAAACTTCGAATCGGGCCTCATCACTCCATTGTATTGGACACCATTGTTGAGGTGTCCATTGTCTATGTTCTTTAGCCCATCTAAGCCGATTTTTCTTTTGCAGTGGAGTTAATAGTGGCTTTTCCTTGGCCTATAAACAAGTTGTGCAACTTTAGGGTTTTTACTTCACTTTTTTTTATACGAAAACTTCCCTTGCAAGTGCTAAATCCCAGTTTGTGGGCCTCTCTATGAGTTGTGGACCTCGAAATTCTCCTTCCAACATCGTCATATCGTTATATCGTTAATCTTCTAACAATATTTCTCACTCTGTACCGCGACAAGTCTAACAAAGTTGCAATTTCTGAGTTTGATTTCCCAGAATTAAAAAATTTAATTATCAGTAACCGAATTTTCTCACTAATAACCTTTCCTCTACCCATTTTGAAAACCTTAACTACCCTAAACTATTTTAAACGTATTCCGACAGCTGTGATTAGTAAAAAAAAATTGTCATGGCTTTTATTTTTCACAGGCACCTATGCGTTATAGACTTATTTTGCATTGAAATGAAAATAGGTTGATATGCTGTAATTGCAACATGTGTTAATTTTATGCTGCAAATTTGATTAGGGAGTGATAAAGTTGGTGTTTTCTACTATATATTATCAAAATATTCATTGTTAATATTTTAAATCTATAACACCCCGCCACATTTTTATTATTTGTGTTTTATAAGAAAAAAACTAAGATTTCAATAGTTGGGCCAACTGAAGTGGAAAGGGGCTCGTATTTAATGTTTTCGATAACCCCAAAATCCTAAATGTCACAGCAACACAAATCCCACCAAACGGCGTTGATAGAACATGATTTTTGACAGTGTCGCCTCTGTAAAAAACTTTGTGACGCCGCTTCATATTCTTTCTTGGAAACGCTTATAGCTTCTGTAATAACCATTATTGAAAACGAGTTAAATATAACCTTTACCAATGCGATAAGCTGCAATCCAAGGCTCAAAACGTCCATTAGTTCAAGAAGAAGATTTTTTTCAATAGGCCACGTAACTGTAAACTGCTATTAACATTATTTCTAACTGTATTCAGTAGTCACATTTACAAGGAAATTCCAATTAAATTATTTTTTTTTTGACAAACCCCACCCGAAAAGAAAGTTGGAAGCACATATTTACACGTCCATTATTTTTTTAAAATAGTTTGATGATACTCATAGTGAGGTGAAATTGAAGGTTGTACGAAACTCATATCATGCTTTTAATCATTTAATAGCTTTCTATAGCCATTGATTAGCGTGTTTTATCTGATGATAGCTAACCTAATGCTATATTCTGCTTTCATGTCAATCTTTCGTAAATATTTTCTTCTTCAGGAAATATTAAATAAAAAACAACTTGTAGCGTTGAAAACCAGTTTGAGGAGAGGCAATCTCAAAAATTGGGAAAAACAACAGAAATATTGAAAGCATCTGCTTCACTTCATTCATTAATGAGGTTCTTAAAAACTAATTTCCAAATTTCTGAAGAAAAGCTCTGATTTTAGTACTATGAATATTAACAACAATCCAAACTCATATACAGACTTACGGCCCATAAGCATTTTTTACCTACACAATTATAGGATAAAGCTATGTACATTCAAATAAACGACTTTACTTCAGAACATGAAATGGAAAAATATCGTCGGGGCATAAGATCACCATTTAGCTACACCATTAGCTCTCTCGGACCCCACAAAGGCATTCCACACAAAAAATCACCCTCATTCGATAAACAGATCCCAAAATGTTGTCGTTGATTCAGATTTTTCAACAGAAAGTTTGATTAACTCACTAGTGCCTCAAGGATCAGTGTCTGGACCACTTTTGTTTATTTTAGATATAGCAGATAGAAATATTTGTTTTTTCAGTTTTTTTGCTGACGATCTACGAGTACAATTATTACATAGTTTAGATCATGAAAGCTTAGAAATTTTAATTTTCTTACCTAAATTCTATTGAAAATTATGCAACATTGTCTCTGGCTGAATCCCGTTAAACCCAGAGCTATTCTTTTTTCTACTCAAAGATTAAGGTCCCTTATTAAAAATAATTCTCGCATAACTTTGAATGGATAAAAGAATCAGTTAAAAACTGGTTTGTAGACTAAAATTTGTTTGTCATGTAAGTAATGTAACTAATAATTGTTTAACCATTTTTTGCCATGTATATTTGAATGAAGAAAACATTTTTATGTGAATAACAAAAATCACACATTGTGGTTTAGTATACTATATATTAATTTCTAGATTTAGTTTCAGTTACAAAAGCTACAACAGTCAGATTGTATATTGATTTTCAATTTAAGAAGATATGCTAAGTGACATATAAATCCGAACACCCAGTTTAAATGGTTTTATTTTAATAAAAGTTGGTGAATGTATTTATCTTACTGTAAATAACAAGTGAAAAAATTTTCAGCCTTATCAGCTGGACATTCCGGTTTTTATACTGCTTTTTTTTAATTCACTAATGCTCTAAAAATGAATATTTCAGTCGCAGTAAAGAATCAACGTTGGCGGATTTTGGTTCTTGACATCGGTTACGATGCCTAGAGTACGGAGACCTGTACGATTTCGTCAACTTAGTGAGTTTGATAGAGGCCGTATAGTGGGACATCGGGAAGCTGGACTTTCTTTTCGGGCAATTGCAGTTAGAGTGCAAAGAAGTGTAGACACTGAGGTTAGGTGTTGTCAGGCATGGCTTCGAGAAGGCCGTACGCAAAGAGCAAGGGGCACTGGACGCCGCCGTAGCACAATAGACCGTGAAGATCGCCGTCTAAGATTATTGGCCTTAAGGGACCGTTTCTCCACTACCAGGTCCATTGCAAATGAATGGTTTGCAGAACACGGAAGACCTATTGGCATGCGAAGTGTTTACCGACGAATGAGAAGTTTTGGCTTGTTTTCATACCGGCCACACTGGGTCCTCCCTTTAACTCGAGAACACCGACGTAATCGCCTTGAGTGGTGCAGACAACGGTCACTCTGGGATCAGGAATGGAACAGTATTGTCTTTAGTGACGAGTCTCGATTTTGTTTAGGCATGCACGATGGTCGTGCCAGGGCTAGAAGGCGTCATGGTGAAAGGAGGAATCCACAGTTTTTTGTTGAAAGACATGTTCATCACACTGTTGGAGTTATGGTTTGGGGTGCTATAGCTTATGGTTCCAGGTCACCTTTAATCTTCATAATAGGTAACATGAACGCGCAGCGTTATATTCACGAAGTTCTAGTACCCCATCTTTTACCCTATCTTGACACCTTGGCAGATCCAACTTTCCAACAAGATAATGCCCGACCACATGTTGCAAGAGTCACAATAGACTTCTTTCAACATAATGATGTCACATTGTTACCATGGCCACCAAGATCTCCCGACTTATCCCCAATTGAGCACGTGTGGGATATGATGGGTAGGAGATTGCTCAATTTGCAACGTCCTCCTCAGACTCTAGAAGCACTTCGAGAGGAGTTGGTGGTTGCCTGTAATGAGATACCACAGGAGGACATTGACCACCTGATCAGAAGCATGCCACATTATTAAAGGTCAAAGGGCTTTAAAGCAGTGCAATCATTTTGAAATTTTTATCATTTACTTACTTTGCTTCATTAAGTACTTATACAAAATTTTATTAAAATAAAACCATTTAAACTGGGTGTTCGGATTTATATGTCACTTAGTATATGATTATATTAGTTAGTATTTCGAACAGCTGAATTGGTTGAATGTTGCGAAGTTGTTCAAAATAAATAATAAATAAAATTAACATCTCGTAAGTATATCCACTCACTTAATATGCTATGCACTGACGATTTAACTATGCCTCTTCAAAAAACTGCATTATTTCATAAATACTTTACATGTAATGCGATTAATCTATACAATGCATTCCCGACGACTGTGCAAACATCTTGATTTTGATGATTTCAAAAAGCTAGACAAATTATCTTTGACGCTCAAATCGGAATTAACTACCGGTATATAAACCATCTGTATTTCCTCATATTGATTAACCTTTCCTACTGAAACAAGAGAATCATCAAACATTTTAAACTGAGATGGATTAGGCAGAGCATATACTTACAATTGTACTTTCAGAGTTCAGCCCGGATCCAGGACATTTGCCCAATAGCTTTTCATGGCACTTTTTGTGTACAGCAGTTTGACAAACTGAAAACATAGAAACTAATCGATAAAGTGGAGAATACTATCGCTGTTGGTCCGTAAATAGGGCACAAGCTACTTCAAGTGAAGTGTAAATTTGATTTTAATATTGTGGATTCTAGGAATTTGATACCCATACTTTTATAAGGAAACTACAAGTTAACCAGTATACCGCATTTTCAAACTAATATTATAAGAAATAATTCCTGACAATTTACGGGGAAAGCGTGCACTTTGGTTCAAATAAAGAGGAAGATACTTACACTGGCAGTGGTAGCCCTGTTTCCCGAAGCCCCATAGGAAGTCTTTGCAAAATGCGCAAAAGGTCGGCTGCCGAAAAAACTTCGCAACAAACTGATGTCCTTTGATTTCATGGAATCTAAAACATATAAGGTAAACATGATTCGGTGGATAAGGAAAAATAGTAATGATAGTATATGGACGCAGAGACGGAAAATAAACAGATCCAAGTCATCCCGGAAGAATCAGATGCAAACAATAGAAATGTTCCATTGAATGTCTCGAAACTACAACTAAAAAATGTTTCTCAAACTGAAGAAACTTTTGCTTTAAAATGCTTTATCCCACAATCTACACTTTCTTGGTTCAAATCTGCTCAAGTGTTCCGAAAGAGGTCATGATTATTTTGGTCTTCCAATAAACGGCGTTATTGATTATTTGATATGAAGGTTGTAATAAATAATTGTTTATCTTTCCGAAATAAAATCGTGGTAAGTGCATTCACCAAAATAGGCAATATATAGGTTTTACTTGGTACATCCACCATGTATTTAAAAATTTGCGTAGTCACCATTATTCTAAATTAGTGCGACTATTATAACGATTATTCCTGCCGTTATCTTTTCAGTTGCTAATAAAACTATGGGGAATAAATACCAGGTAAATACATTACCAGCTTGGTTTGTACTTATAATAGATTGCAGGACGTCATCCAGTCTGTCAAATCACTAATACAAAAACAATCTGTAGTGATGTTCTACAGTGTTCACCATTAATTTTTTAACCGCTCTAGGCAGCTAAGGGAAAATCAGGATATCGAAACGGATGCAAAAATACGATCTTTTAGCCTACTAGTGTTATTACACATTACTATTGTAAAGGTCGAAAATGTAAGATCTTGGGAAAATGTACCTATTAAATATACAGTACTTTCCCCCCCTCCCCTTCGATGTTTTGAACAAATCAATTCAAAAAGTTCAAACTTGTGGTAACGAAATTGATGCGTGGATACCATATTTTAGAGTAAAGTTGACAGATGAAAATGTCAAGATGGTCGCTGGGCCCCATTTTGGAAAAAAAGTAGTATGCAAACGGGGGTCTTGTGGCACATAATTTTGAAGATCCTGGTGAGTACTTTATAATCCTAGAATGTAAAGTCAATACCTTTACCTACTACAAAATGGTGGTACATTTATTAATTACTTGAACACAAGCCCAATGCATATCTCTACAAATAACTGTAATTCCCTTTCGTATCCACAGCAACAGCGATAAAAACTTGTTTTGTTATTTTTTGTTGACAGTGACAAGAATATCAGTACGAAAACAAACATCATTGTACAGTTAAAATATTCTCATTTAGCTTTCGGGTTTAGTGCTAGATACTGTTTGAACTATTTTTAAACTGGTCAATTCTTGTCCATTGGAAAAAAATTGAAGCGATTTTTATTTATGGTGCGACGCGTAACTTTCACGAGACCGAAAGGATTTTTAATGAAGGTTTCCCGAATCGTCCCATCTGTAGAAAATATTCAAGGGAACTTGTATCTAAATTTACAGCTACTGGTAGTGTAAACAACAAAAAGCCCCCAGGTCATCCGACCACCCCGGGAGAAAAGCAAGTTCAAATAATTGGTGAGATCATAGTAAATCCCCAACAGTCTATGGTGACTTTTGAAAAATAATAAGTATCACCCATTCAAAATTCAAATTGTACATCAGCTAACTGAAGATGACCCTGATTGAATAACAGAATTCTTCGTGACTATGACGGAAACCATTGCACGGCATCCTACCCAGATCTAAAATATTTGTTTTAGTGATGAATGTACATTTTTTCTCAACGGTAATGTGATTAGACAAAATTGTCGTTATTGGAGTGACACCAATCCTCACGTCTTCCGGGAAACTCATACTTCATATCCACAAAAAATTAACGTTTGGGCTGGGATATTGGGAAATCATACTGTGGGGTCTCTATTCATCGGAAAAACTTTAACCGAGGAACTGTATTTGGATATGCTGGAAAATACTATTGACCCTCTAATCACCGAAATCGTCGAAGCTAATCCTAACGAATTCGATACTGATATTGTATTCCACCAAGATGATGCTCCACCACTCTACTCCAGGCAAATTAGGAATTATTTAGATAACAATTTCCCCGGTCGTTGGATTGGCCGTCGAGGTCCTGTGCAATGGCCAGCTCACTCGCCAGATTTGACACCGTTAGACTTTTTTTTATGGGGCTATTTGAAACAAAAGGTGTTCGAAACTGAACCTGCTCCAATATTGGATATACGACTCAGAACAACAAATATTTGTAGAAATATCGATGTTAGTAGGTTTGAAAATGTTCGACGCGAAATTACGGACCGGCTGTTATTGTGTAAAGAAGTTCACGGCAACCATTTCCAGCATCTTCAAAACTGAACTCAACGCATTTATTCGAATTATCAAGTTAAATGTCAATGTATTCAGGTAATTATTCAATGTACCACCATTTTTTAGTAGGTTAAGGTATTGTCTTTATATTCTAGAGTTATAAAGTACTCGTCAGGAGCTTTGAAATGATGTGCCACAAGACCCCCGTTTATCTATAACTTTTTTTCCAAGATGGCGCCAAGCGGCTATCTTGACATTTTCATCTGTCAATTTTACTCTAAAATATGGTATCCACAAAATGAAAGTGGCGGGGGACATTAAAGAAAAACACTGTATACAATGAAGGATAATGTGGTTTTAAGGCTCCCAATGAGTTCCTCTCAACCTCAGAATATACAGTTCCTCTTTAAAAGTTGTGGACAGGACAGAAGATAGGTAAGTCATTACAGAATTTTAATAATAAGACTATTAAGCGCTGAATTTGGACAGCCGTACATCTGAAACACTGAAAAATATAGAACTTTATATTCCGGGTCTAGCATTAAATTTAGTAAAAAAATCATTTTTACATAATGGCGTTCAGTCGCCATCTTGAAATTTTCACCTGCCAATTTTACACTAAAGTATACTTTAGTCGTTTGATTATACAGAATTTTAATTTGACCCGTTCAAAACACAGACGGAGCCTCAATAAAGGACGACAATGTATAAGAAAATTTGTATAGAAAGTTCCATCGGTATTACAAAAGTACGCAAAGGATTCATATCTTGCGATCAACTTAAAGTGCATATTCTAAATTATATATTTCTGCGACAATCTAGTTCCATTTAGATTATACACACCTCTGGAATTTGACAGCACCTCTCCTCTTTGGCCCTCTACCAAGATATCTACGTTCATCATCGTCAGATTCTGCAGATGGTGTTCTTACTAATGTAGATGTTGACTGGTAGCTGGAGTAACCACTGCTGTTGCCTTCGTAAGCACGCAATTTTGATGTCTTTCTCCTTTCCTGAAAAATATACATTTTTACCAAGGATGTACTTTCTTTGATACCTGTCCGTGAACCGTTTTGAACTACTACTAGACAATCGAACTTTGGTTCTGAAATCATGAGAACCTTACGCAGGATCAGATGTTTTGGAATAATTCCATGCAGAACCCGAATAAGGCTCCAAATAGAAATGGCTCCCAGTCGATTTGCCGGAAAACATATCGCCTTCCTGAATAAAATATTTCCAAATTAATCCTCCCCCTGCACAATGCTGAATATGAGCAGTTTTATGATGCTCTCTTGTCATTTTCCGTCCTATTTGATAAGAATTCAATTATAACAGGGGATTTCAACATAGCTAACTATACTTGTATTTTAATAGTCATGGGCGCAACGCAAAATTGGTATCGTTGAACAACTTTACCGAGGGTCTTGCTATTAATCAGTTCAACAACATTTCAAATTCTATGGACAATACCCTTGATTTATTTTTCTGTAGTGGTTTGTGTGAGATTGACATTCGTGGGATTCGCTGCTAGATATGTTGTAATATCAACACCAGTTTCAATACTAAGCATAATTTTCCTGTTTCATTTATAAATTCTTATAATTTCCGCAAAGCCAACTTCCCTTAATTATATAATTAAATTTTAGATCTGGATTGGGCTGCCTAAAAGCTACTACACACAAGACGGCGGCAATGCCGCCGGGTTTATGCCGAGCGGCAATGCCGTCGGCAATACAAGCCGCCAAGCATCATTCCGGTTGTGACAGTCACATAGAACGCTAGTGAAGTGCAACACGCAAACCGCACAACACTACCTCTCGAATGCCAGGAACGAAGTGACGCCGGCAAGCCGCGTAACCCGGCGGCTCCTTTGCGCGGCAAGGCCGACGGCTTTGTATGCCGCCGGGTGCACGGAGGCTTAGCCGGCGGCCCTGCCACCGGCACTGTGTGTAGCAGCCTTTAGATGGCTTTCATGACGAGAATGAAGCTTGTGAGTTCTTCTATAAGAAACTGTACAATCCTTTTGAAACCTGTGTTCCAAAATATGTCAGAGCTACGAAACGTAAATACCCACCCTGGTTCAATTCAGCAATAATTAAGCTTATCAAATGCAAGGAGAAGATTCACCGATCTTACAGACGCAACAATGATCCTGAAGCGTGTCAGACATTCAGGGAACTTAGATCAAAAATTAAGATAGATTCAGATCAAGCATACAAAATATATGTCAGACAAGCTGAGAAAATTTTTGACCTATATCAACATTGTAATCACTCAACAGTATCAAATTTGATGAACTTCACAAAGACCATAGCAGAAAATATTGACAGAGGATTACAAACAGATGTGATCTACACAGACTTCTCCAAGGCTTTCGACAGAGTTGATCGCAGGACGCTATTGCATAAACTGGAATCTCATCGATTATCCGAGTCTTTAATACAACTATCTAAGTCCTGGAAGGAACCAATTTGTGACGTTTAATGGCATCAGATCGTCGAAGTATGTAACCAATTCCGGAGTGCCACAAGGCAGAGTAACCTAGGGCCTTTATTGTTCGTCGTATTTGTGAATGACATAGTTAATGCTGTTGGCAAGAATTGCTTACTTTACGCTGATGATCTGAAGATGTTTTGTCGTGTAGCTAATGAATCAGACTGTGACCAACTTTTAGAAAATCTGGTTAGGTTGGATGCTTGGTGCTCACAAAACAATCTACCATTACACATCAATAAATATTACGTAATGTCTTACACTTTGGAGAAAAATCCCCTGTTATTTGACTATATCCTGTGAGGTACCTCTATTCAGAGGACTACAACATTGTGTGACTTAGGCATGATATTTGACTCTCAACTAACATTCGCCAAACAAGTTGATAGCAAAATTTCGGAGGCAAACCGCATGTACGGCTTTATTGTAAGAAACTGCCGTGACCTTATTCAGAGTGCCACGTTAGAGTTGCTGTATTATGCATATGTTAAGTCGAAGCTTCAGTATGCATTGATAATTTGGAATCCGCATCATATTATTCATATAAGTAGGCTTGAATGTGTTCAAAGACGTTTCTTAAAACATTTGTCACTGAAAGTGGATGGCGTTTACCCGCCCATTGGTACAGCTCATGATTCCTTACTTGAAAAACATCTAATCAGCAGTCTTGAAGCAAGGCGCACTTGCCAGTCAGTGATTTTTCTGTTTAAATTGATCAATAATGCTAGTGATGATTTATCTTTCTTGAGTAAGTTATCATTTAATGTACCTAGGCTGACATTCCGAGAAAAAGTTACGTTTAATCTACCTGCGGCACGGACAAATTATATACATTATTCCCATTTACATGTGATGTGTAGGAATTACAATTCTGCAAGTAACCAGCATGTATCTTTTACACTTTGTAGTGTATCGCTGTAAGCTTACGAAATATCTCAAACACATTTTTGCATGCGAGTCCATCCCTGTAGCACATAAAACCTTTCCAGTAGGTTCACAAGGCTGCTTAGTGTCACTCAGCGCTACGGCCCTTACGCCTGTTTACATTATACATTCCATTCCTTCTCTGGGTACTTGTTCCCAGGATAAACTTTGTTAAAGATACTGGTGTGGATGGCGATGTAGTTCAATTATTGCGTGGAGGAGATCGCTTCTCAGACCAAGCAGTGCGCTTTGTGAACTTGATTACAGTGTTGATGTGCTATTGGGTGAAGTGTTTTGGTTACCTGAAAGGTGAGCAATCACTGAGTGTTTCCTTTATTCTACTGCATGGACTGATAACCATAATATTTTTATATTCATGATCTTGAATGTCTTAAGCCATGTTTATAAAGATGCTATACTTTTTACCTTCATAATTTAGCTTATGGCTTACGACTTGTCATTGAATATCCGCAGGTGGGACGCCTCCAGGTTCTGGGGGTTATTATGGGACTTTCGGAGCCCGTTTGCTGGGTTCAGGTAGTTATGTTACTTACTGCTCGGTTTCCTCTACCAGGGGAAACGGCGGAGCGCTTTGGATGTTGACACGGTGGCCTTTGGCCGAAGTGGCGTCCTAGGTCTGAATGACCGCCTGACTATCTTCTCTTGACAATCGCTGGAGTCTGAATGTATCTCATGGCAGGATGTGTGAAGGGATTGTTACTTTAATGCTTGTCATATTGCTCGGTTACCTCTGATTCAGGGGTGATGTCTGAGCTTTGGGGTATTGACACAACGGCCCTTGGCCAGCGTGATATCCCGGTTCCTGGACTTTTGTAACAATCGTTATACTCAGCACGTCTGACCATACACCTAGCGACCAAAGAGTTAGAGTTAGTCTATGTGACAACTCCGAGTTAGTCTGTGTGACGACTCCTAGTCAGTCGGTGTGACGACTTAATGATCAGTCTGTGTGACGGTCAGGATTAGTCTATGTGACGATCCCGTGATTCAGTCGATGTCGAATCCGTAGTAGTAGTTGGGGTACATTAATGTAATGTTAAATAGTAGATTTGTGCATGTGATGTCATGAGTCGGTTGAATACGGGAGATACTCATAAGTATTTTTCTATAAATAGGCGATGGCCCCGACAATCCGATCATATCGCCCTAATCGCTTGCCAAAGGAGGATGACACGTTGTCGTTTCGTCACCAAGTAAGTGACTTTAATATTACCCTGACATTGTTGCCCATATCGAATTGTTTACGTACTGCCCATGTAGTAAAAATGAAATGGTACGGGGCGGTACTTCGGAATCTTCTAAGATGAGATGTTTTCACGTTTATCGTTATATTGCTATTATCATATTACGGTTCGTATCGTACATTACTTATTATTGTCTTGTATATCTATGTAATGTTCTGTGTTTCCTCAGCCTGTAATTTTTATTTACTGTAGGGTGTTGTAATAAATAAAATAAAATAAAAATAAAATTGCACATAAGACAGACATGGACAGTGGTCTTAGATATCTTAGATACATGCTTGTTAATATTTTCAGAAAGTCCTTCTGGATTTTGAGGTGCACCACCTGTCGATTATTATCTAAATAACTATAAAATTCGATCCTCAAGCTTGCGAGCAGCCTATTATTTTGAGTGAATGAAGTAACAAAACAACTTACCAACCTTTTCACAATCCGCGCCCTTAGATGCAAGTCTCTCCCTCCTTCGTTCTTTCAGATCACTGGAACTAGTCTTTCTCTTATGGTGATTCCCACCAGTGAACATCATTTTGTCATCGCACTCATTCACTACTGTTTGTTTACACATATCATTCCCGTCTATAATGTCCAAAGTTTTACAAATTCCACTGTATTCGAACACTTCATCGATTCAGAATGCTCCTGACATAACGCTGGATTCAAATTTAAAAATAAACTTATGCTTTATTTTAAATTTGCGATTCATAAAACATAGAGGATGTTTCAACTGTAAATAAAAAACGTATGCTTTTATCTGGTGAGAGGAAAACCGAAGGCAAGGCACTGGATTTAAATACAGAGTAAATAAGTGATAGGATCAGGATATTAAAGTTTTTAAACGGATTTTATATCAAGTTTATACAGGGCGTTTCAGTTTATTGTTGCATAACTTTGAGATTCGATAGAACTTTTAAAATTAATGCATAAAGTCTATATAAACATGGGTCGAAAAATGCGTGGCTTCCGAAATACAGGGTGTTTAAATTCACTTTCTAAAATAGTTTTTTTTAAATATTTCGAACAATATTTGATGTATAACAGTAAAAGTTGGTATACAAGGGTTTTTTGGTACGAAAAAACGAACCATGGTCATAGTTTTACTGTAGCCGCTAGAAGGCGCTCTCTACTGTACCTGTAGTGTATTAAAATGACTGAAAATATTTTCTTAATGCAATTTTAGGCTTTTTGAATAAAAAAAAATGATTCTTCGCACTTTTCAACATAAAAAAGCTAGTTGACAGTTAGTTTTGTTGTCTGTTGAAACCTGAAACGTTTTTTTGCAATTGTGAATGCATGAAATTTAGTTTCTTTTACCTGTTTTTTTTGTAAGTTTTATAAAAATGCCTTTTTTATTCTCCAATCAAGAGTTAGCGGATATTCATTTTGAGTATGGCTTTGTAAATGGAAACGCAGCAAAAGCAGCCAGAGAATACGCACGAAGATTTCCAAACAGACGACATCCAACTCGCTCAGTATTTGTAAGAGTGCATCGCCAAATAATTGAAAATGGTTTTGGAAATCTCCAAAGGGATCAAAACATAAATGTTCGTCAGCGCAGATTTACCCGTATGATTCTGCGTGAGTTTGCTAGAGATCCGACCACAAGTGTTAGAAGAGTTTCTGGTGCCTTGGGAATTTCAGCAAGCCATGTTCACCGTGTTCTTAGAAATGACCATAGTCGTCCTTACCATTTGCAACCTGTGCAAGGACTACAGCCAGGGGACGGAGAACGAAGAATCACATTTTGTCAGTGGATTCTTGATAGAACTGATAATAATAGGGTGTTTTTAAGTAACGTTTTATGGACCGATGAGTCATGCTTCACTAGACGTGGAGTGGTAAATTTTCATAATCAACATATTTGGTCGCATGAAAATCCGCATGCAGTTCGGGAAAGAAATTTTCAGCATGAATTTACTGTGAACGTGTGGATTGGTATCTACCGTAATCGACTATTTGGACCCTACCTTTAGCCTGGAAGGTTAAATGCTGCGACCTTCTTGGAATTTTTAAAGGCTGAACATGCAAATACGTGGGATGATGTTATGTTAGATTTAAGAAGATTGGCCTGGTTCCAGCTTGATGGTTGTCCAGCTCATTATTCGAGAATAATTAGAAACTGGCTGGACGAAAATTATCGAGAAAGATGGATCGGCCGTGGAGGACCAGTCGCCTGGCCTCCACGATCCCCTGACCTAAATCCATTAGATTTCTTTGTGAGGGGATTTCTAAAAGAAAAAGTGTACCAGACTCCCGTTACCACAAGAGATATGCTTATAGACAGAATCAGGAATGCATGTGATGAAATAAGACCTTATTTGAATAATGCTATACCACGTTCGATAATTCGTAGATGTGAATTGTGTATTGAACAATTGGGTTTACATTTCGAGCAACTACTTCAGATTTTGTCTGTTTGTCCTAACTATCCAATAGCATTTTAGTTGTAAATAATTAACTTAATTTGTTAAGAATAATATTGGAAGATTAAACAAATTAATATTCTGTTTTTTGTGTTTATTTGGAGTTAGGAATTATTGCTGTGTTTAAAAACACAATCTAAATGATCATCTGAATTACTTGTAATGCCCAAATAGAAAATGTAAAAAAAATATTATGGTCCCATAAATAATTAAAAATGCATCGAACCTTAAAAATCGAAATATCTCAAAAACGGCTAACTATAACAAAAACTCACAGGAGAGCTTTTTTATGTTGAAAAGTGCGAAGAATCAGTTTTTTTATTGAAAAAGCAAAAAATAGCACTAAGAAATTTTTTTCGGTCATTTTAATGCACTACAGGTACAGTAGAGAGTGCCCTCTAGCGGCTAGAGTGAAACTATACCCATGGTTCGTTTTGTCGCACCAAAAAACCCTCGTATACCAATTTTCACTGTTATACATTAAATATTGTTCGAAATATTCAGAAAAAACTATTTTAGAAAGTAAATTTAAACACCCTGTATTTCGGAAGCCACGCATTTTTCGACCCATGTTTATATAGACTTTATGCATTAATTTTAAAAGTTCTATCAAATCTTAAAGTTATGCAACAATACACTGAAACACCCTGTATAGTTAGCTATCGTTCTTCGATTCCAAGTTTTTGTAAAACATTTTTTTATGACATACGAGTAATACATATTTTGATGTACACCGGTTTTATCCCACAACACTGTGGTTTCTTCAAAGTCTGAGGTGATATATATACACATGTATTGTATATATTATTTAATAAAGACGTTTATTATTATTATTATTATTATTATTATTATTATTATTATTATTATTATTATTATTGATGGTCATCAAACATGTTTATCTTATCTGAGTTAATTTTAAATAATTAGTAAGCAACCTGTTAAATTCGGCTTCAAAAACGTACCGGGTCATTCTCCAAGGTGGCTCACCCCCGAAACCTTATTATTATTCAAGATATAAAAACGAAATTTAGGTGTTACATATTATGGATGCATTTACATTTTTTAACATATCCATTTCCTCTGACGTACTTCCGGCTTGACCGGAAACAACTCCAACTTTTGATTTTTAAATGGGACACTATAATTTTTTACTTATTTCGATCTAGAATGACAACGGTTCACTTAACAATATTTGACAAATAAAGTAATTTTTATTTTCGATCAAGAATGATTCCATAAATCGCTTCGTTTTTGATCAAGTCACATGAGAAAAATACGATAGTAAGGCGAACGACTTTACAGTCGTTTTAAAGATTTTCTAAAAGTTACAAACACTATTTTTTTAATTCACTTGACTTTCTCAAATGGAAAGGCGTAGCTGGTCGGCTTTTTCTAAGAGACTACTTTGTTACGAATAATTTGATACTGAACACTCTCATTTTATTTTCACTCTTCTTCTGAATAATTGTACGAAACGATCATACCTTATAACAAATAATACGTATCTACATTCGGTAAAAATTGTAGGTGTTGCTTTAGAAAATGTGAAACGAAAAGAAGAAAGGAAAATAGGCGGGTTGGATTATGCTGGAGTAAAGTATACAAATAAATTAAATACATATCGTATCATTATTATAACAAACAATAAAATTAAAAAAACGTGTCATTAGGGTTCTAAGTGTTCATAATGGCATCCTCCTTCATCACGGCAAAGTTCAGCTTTATTAATTGTTGCTTGTACATTTTAATTAAAGACTTTTGAATGTGGATAATACTTAGATAAATCCACATACCAAAGTTTAGTTCATTCCACTTGACGGGAAGATATTAAAAAAATGTTTTTTATTTGTAAGCTTCACCCACACCGTGTCTTTTTAATAAAGTCCTCGAGGACAAATGTTACATAGAATACTCCCCCCTTAAAATGAAGTCCTCTGTATGATGTTTTATTTTTGGTCACGACTTGTGAATCACCCTGTACGTCATTGTACTGAAGAAGATAATAATAATAATAAATGTCTTTATTAATACACATACATCAGTGTGGCGAACTTTAACCAAATGGATGGCTACTCTTACACTTAACCTCACTGTGTGCGAAAGAGTAACATAGTTAAGCTCGATACTCAAACAATAGTAATAATAATAAGAAGAAGAAATCTAAGTAAATGAATTGAATAGATAACGTCTTGACAACACGCACACATGAACCAACAGAGTAATACGTAACAGAAAAAGAAAGAAAAAAAATCATTTTTAACAAATGCACACTTGAACTATCAATATCCCATCAGCTGTTTCTTAACGAGTCTCCTGAAAGGTACTATTGTTTTACTGCGACACATTTTATCTGTAGAGTTGTATAACTTGACAGCATGAAATGTGAAGCTTTTCTGGAAAAGTTCTATGTAGCAAAATTTAGGTTGTGTCTGAGATTTCTCTGATTAATGTTACCTCTTGGTACTAGTTTTTCTAAAAGGTACTGTGGCTTTTTTGTGTGAACTACTTTATGGACAAACACCTTCATAGCATAAACAAACTGTGATTCCATCTTTAACCAATTTAAATCTTTAATCTTCGAAGAGACATCACTATATTTACTAAGTCCAAACACAATCCTGCAGCAGCTGTTTTGAATCTTTTATAACCTATACCGATTCGACGAATCCAAATAAGAATAGAATAAAATCAGAGAATGCTGCAAAGATGACAGGATCAAGCTTTCAACTAATTTTTTTCTCGTCTTAAAGCTTAAAATGAACCGGTTGGAGTATATAAGTTTTAATTTGGCATACGTTTTTTGAGACAGGTAACCGATGTGTCTATCAAACTTCAAGTTAGAGTCCAAGATAACACCCAGGTTTTTAGAATGTTCCACCATGGGGATGCGCTCGTTATTTATAATGAGTACAACTGCGTCCTTTTTGTTATTATACATGTGTTTCGGAGAAAAAAGCATACCTGAACTCTTTTCAGGATTGATCCTGAGACAGTGCTTTTTACAAAAATCCGTAATATTGATTAGGTCAGTATTAATTTTAAACGACACTTCATTTAACTGAGCATATTTGAAGTGAAATGACAATTGTGTGTCATCAGCATACGTTTGTATAGAACAAAATTCCACACATGAACCTAAGTCTATAGTGTAAGTCAAATATTGCAGAGGTCCAAGAACGGACCCCTGCGGAACGCCAGACGAAACCACAGTACTATACTACAACTATTTAAAACTGTAATGACTCATACTCGTGATCAACACGTGATCAGAGCTCGATCCCGGCTTCCTTCCAGTACAACCGTA